GGAGCCCCAGCCCCCCGCCCCGTGGTCCTCAGCCGTGGGCAGGGTCCTCGGGAGCCCACAGGCTCATTCACTCAGCCGTCCCCTGTGTGGGTCACACAGCTTCCTCTTTCGGCCTCCCTTTGCTGGGGACTCACACAATTTCCTTTATCTTCCTCCCAGGAGGAAGATGACATCCTGATGACGTAACACGGACTAATGTCTGTTCCCTTTTCAAGTGTCACAAATAATTTCCAACAAATCTTAAAAGCTGGGATGACACCCGGGCATTGAAAGAAAAAAATCTAGCTGGGCGCGTTAGAGCAGGCCTGTTATTCCGGGAGGTGGAGGCAAGAGGACCAGGAGAGAAAGAAGCAAAGGAAGAGAGGGAGGGAGGGAGGAGAGATGAGAAAGCCCTAATGGACAGCAGAGGATGGCCTCTCCGGAGGATGGGGTGCTCCTTGCCCGCCCCCCAGCCCGCGCCCCCTAGTGGCCGGGAGGCGCCGTGCCGGGAGGCCGACCGCTCAGAGGGGAAGGGACCCGTGGCCGGTCACTGCCCAGCGGCAGGGTGGCGGCTCCGGGCACCCTGCCTTCTTCTTCCTGCTCTTTCCTCGTCACAGCGCGGCCTCGGCTCAGTGATCTTTATTATCTATATCTTTCAAAAAATAGCAGTTCCAGCCGGGTGGTGGCGCACACCTGTGGCCCCAGCGCTGGAGGCGGGGGCGGAGGCAGGTGGATCTCTGTGAGTTCGAGGCCAGCCTGGTCCACAGAGCGAGTCCAGGACAGCCAGGGCTACACAGAGAAACCCTGCCGGGGGGGGGGGGGGACTTAAAACACAAAACAAGGGGCAGCCTGGGCTACATGGCAAGAGTCTTATGAGGACTCCTCCGCCGTGGCGGCCCTGCCTGGGGCCCAGAGCCAGGGTTTGAGTGAGTGACATCCTGGAGGATGATCTCACCCACACACCCACCTCCACAGGCACCCTGCTGTTCCAGGTGCCAGAGGCGGTCAGAGCTCAAGAGCTCAAGGTCTTCAGCTCCGCAGCTCAAGGCCAGCCTGGGATACAGGAGATTTTGTCGAAAAGGGGGCGGGCTCCAAGGAACAGAGGAGTGAAAAGGCGCTCTGTGTGGCGAGCCTGGCCAGGCTGGGAAGGGCGAGAGGGAGAAGAGCTTTAGATGGCTGTCGTCTGCTTTTGTTTTCCTTCAGTGTGTGTGTAGGTAAAAAAGCAGCCTCTGTGACTGTTTTCTCCTAGGGATCCAGTTCAGGTTTTCGTGATTGCCTGGCACGGGCCTTTCTCTACTGAGCCAGCTCACCCTCCCATCATTCGGGGTTTCTCCCTGCTGTCCTGGACTCTCTCTGTAGACCAGGCTGAGAGAGCTCCTCTTGCCTCTGCCTCTGGAGTGCTGGGATCACGGGCGTGCTGGCACACGCCCAGCGGGACGCTGCTGGGAGTAGATTCAGGGTCCCACTGCGGGGCTCAGTTCTCCCTCTCTGCCTCCCCAGGCGGCAGCGGCGTGAGCCACTCTATTTTTGTGAGTGTAGGACTGATGTGTGATAAGAATCTGTGTTTTCTAAACGAGTTCCGAGAGCTCCTCCAGCGTCCCAGAATAAACACCGGGTGATAAGGAGACGTCATGCCTCGGCTTTGCTGGCAGCAGCACTTTCCCCGTTACTGGGATTGAAAAGGATGTGTCTGCCAACCTCAGGCATCTCAGGTTTGGTTACTCTGGGAAGGAGGCGGGTAAGTGTGCGAGCCCACGCCTGCTCTGCCGGCTTCGCCCCCTCCTCTTCCCCCTGCCTCTCTTCCCTCTCCCTTCCTTCACTCTCCTGTGTGCCAAACGTGTACTCTATTGCTGAGCTATTTAGAAAATTAAGTTAAGCTGAATAGAAACGGCTTAAACGTGAGCTGGGGAGACAGCCCAGCCAGTGAGGGTCCTCGCTGGGCATGGGGACTAACGTCAAGTCTCAACACCTGTGTGCAGGCCGGGCATGGCCACCTGAGCATGCCAGGCAGGGAGGGGCAGGCCAAGTAGCCCCAAGCACCCTCCTGCCTCCGTCTCCCAAGGGCTTAGATGGCTGGTGTGAGCACAAGGCTGATCTTTTAAAAATTTTTCAAAGATTTATTATTTATACAATGTACTAACTGCATGTACGCCTGCACGCCAGCAGAGGGCACCAGATCTCACTATAGATGGTTGTGAGCCACCATGTGGGTGCTGGGAATTGAACTCAGGACCTCTGGAACAGCAGCCACTGCTCTAACCTCTCCAGTACCATGGCTGCATCATTTTTTTTAAGGCAATTGTGGGGGGGTGTTGTGGGGGAGTGTGTGTGTGTGTGTGTGTGTGTGTGTGTGTGTGTGTGTGTGTGTATGGTGTGTAGACATCAGAGCACAGGCCATGGGGGTCGGTTTTCTCCATCCACCATCAAATTTGGGATCAAATGTGAGTTCTCAGCCTTGTCAGCAAGATCTTTTATCCGCTGAGTCATTCCTCCACCTCCGAGACAGGGTTTCTCTGTGTGGCCCTCACTGTCCTGGACTCTCTCTGTAGACCAGACTGGCCTCGAACTCATCCACCTGCCTCTGCCTCCCGAGTGCTGGGGTCACAGGCGTGGGCCATTACTGTTCTTAGAAAGGCAAGCAGAGCTGGTTAAGCTTCTTTCTCTATGGCTAACTGATTTAGTTTTATTGAATTACCCTGACATCATTTTGTTGTCTGGGCGTTTGTTTCGCCTGCATGCCTGAATGCGCTGTGTGTGCATGGTGCCCACGGATGGCACAAGAGGGTTGAGATTCCCGGGAACAGGAGACGCAGACATTGGTGAGCCACCACCAGTGCGCTGGGAACCGTCCTCTGCAGGGCAGCCGGTGCCCCTAGCCGCAGAGCCGTCTCTCCAGCCCGAGGCTTGGCGGCAGACACGTTCCGTGCCGCTGTTTGCTGGTTCTGCGGGTCTCTCCTTCCCTGCTTGGGCCTTGCACACGCCTGTGAGTCTGGGGAAGGCGTCGTGGGCACGCGCCACAGCCTGCTCAGTGCTGGGGAGCGTCTGGGACTGTTTTTGACTCTGCAGCTGCCCGGGGCTTGGGAATGTTAATCGGGTGGGTGGCAGCCTCTCCTGCCCTAGTTCCGCCAATGTGTTCCCTGTTGGGGCCTCTGTCCCCACCCCTGGAGGCTCCTGGCATGGCCAGAGGGGCCTTTGAGTTGCAGAAGCCAAAGCTCGGCCTAGAAAATGCACAGGAGAAGGAAGCCCCTTGGAGCTGGGCTGGGAGGTGCTGAGGGAGCTGGGCACACCGGGCACAGCGGTGCCCAGGGACCACAGGCTGGAGAGCCGGGCACTCTGGTGCCCACAGACCACAGGCTGGAAAACCGGGCACACTGGTGCCCACAGGCTGGAGAGCCGGGCACACCGGTGCCCAGGGACCACAGGCTGGAGAGGCTGGGAGAGCGGGAGTCCTGGGAGCAGCCAGGGTCCCCAGACCCCTCGCAGTGGGTGTCTTGACCCTCACCTGTGGGCATCCTGTCCCCAACTCTTTTTTTGTGGAATTGGGGAACTAAATCTAGGGTTGGGCAAGTGCTCTACTGCTGAGCTACACCTCAGCCCTCTGTTTCACTTTTTATTTTCTTCGAGACAGGGTTTCTCTGTGTAGCCCTGGCTGTCCTGGACTCACTTTATACACCAGCTGGCCTCGAACTCACAGCGATCCTCCTGCCTCTGCCTCCCGGGCGTCACCGTGCCCGGCCTTCTTTCATCTTTAATTATGTTTTTTGTTTGTTTGAGGTAGACGCTCACATTACCCTGGCCTGTGTACCTGAAGCTGGCTTTGGATTCGTGGCTATCCTCCTGCCTCTGCCACCGAGTGCTGGGATCCCAGACACAGCCATCACAGTGCTTGTTGTCTATCTTGGAGCAGCAAGTTGCCTGGGCTGGCCTTGAATCCCTCAGCAGCGGGCTTGGAACTGGTGACCCTGCTGCGGCAGCTTCCCAGGAAGCCCGATTGGCCACCTACTGAGATCTTCCCTCCCTCCTCTTCAAGCGCCCACGGCCTGACTCATGGCGCTCCAGCCCGGAGCCGGAGCCGGAGCCGGAGCCTTGGGTGGCGCACTGTCCATCACTGGGCCTCCTGTTTCACCCTCCCCGCCTTTTCCTTCTTTTCCGGAGCTCTCTGCCCCCCTCCCAGCTCCCACCGAGGGCCCTGGCCTCGGCCTGCTGCTGGCCCGCTGTCCAGTCTCTCTTAGCTTGTTTTCAGACCGGGCCTCAAACTCGCTGAGTGTAACCTTGAACTCCTGATCCCCCGCCCCCGCCCGAGTGTGGGGCTAACGGGTGTGCGCTACCACAAACAGCTCGAGTGTGCCCGGCCTGGGGTGGGCACCCAGGGCCTGTGGGCTGCGGGTGATGCAGGCCAGGGCAGGGGCGGGCTCTCTTTATGATGTGTGCGTGTGTGCGTGAGCCGGGGCAGCCTCCCTCATTACCCGCCTGCCTCCTTCCAGGCAAGGACTTCTCACTGGTCTGCAGCATTAATCAGGTGACACTCTCTGGCCCGGGAACCCCAGGACTCTGTCTCTAGTGCTGGGGCTACGAGCGCCTCTTCCCTCCCCCCAGCAGCTTTCACTTGGGTTTGAGACTTGAACTCGGTCCTTGTGCTTGCAAGGCAAACTCTTCAGACTGAGCCGTTCTCTCTGCCTTCCCGCTGTGTGGTGTGTGTGTGTGTGTGTGTGTGTGTGTGTGTGTGTGTGTGGTTTTCAGACAAGGTCTCTCGTGCCCAGGTTGGCTATGTGGGGGAGGCTGTCCTTGAATCTACCCCTAAGCGCTGGGCTTCCAGGCGCGGCCCGGCCCCCCATTGCCGGTTTCCTCCTGTCCCGGGCAGTGCTGGCCGAGCTAATGCCCCCCCGCCCCGAGGGACCCCTGAGGGGCACGCATGGGTGGGCACGCATGGGTGTGCACGGGGCGAGGCCGCAGCTTCAGCTCTTTGGGGACTCCCTCCTGGGTGGTGGGTTTCTCTTACTGACTCAGGGTTTTGTTTTGAAATTGGGGTTTCATGAAACCGGGCTGGCTCCAACACTTGCTACGGCGGCAAGGCTGGCCTTGACTGTAACCCTCCTGCCTCCCGGGGCTGAGAGTGGTTTCCTGGCTGTGTGCGCTGTGCTGGGCGTAGCTGGCCCTGAGGATGACACCCAGGCTTCAGCACAGCCAAACCCTCCATCCACGAGCTGCACCTTGCACCACAGGGGCCTGAGCAAGCCGGTTAGGAAAGGGCCCCTGAGGGCCCAGCGTGGCACAGGCTCTGGGCCCAGCCGGGTGGCCTCTGCCCCCTGCCCGCTGACCTCATCGCCTCATTGTTACACGGAGCCCGCCGGCCAATGGGCCGGGGCTCACTGTTATAATGGGTCCTAGCAACGGGGTGTGATCAGGGCTAAGCGGGGGAGGAGCCCCCACCAGGCGGGGAGATTGGGAGGGGAGAGGGAGAGCCTGCAGGGCAGGTGAGTCCCTGAGGGGCCGAGCTCTCCAGGCGGGCCCTGCGGCTCAGCCACAGACCCAGCTTCCAAAGGTCCCTGTCCCGACCCGCACTGCTGACTGTCCTGCCTCTAGCTGCTGGGATCAGGTCACACCTGAGGTAGCTCAGGGAGGGGCCTGGGAGGGGTGGCCGAGGCCGGGGAGGGACGCAGATGGACGGGCAGCTGAGGAGGGGGAGGAGGAGGAGGGGGAGGGGGGGGAGGAGGGGGGGGGGGGGGAAGAGGGGGAATATGGGGAGGAGGGCCTGGAGGGAGGTGTGTGTGTGAGAGAGAGAGAGGGGAGAGGCTTACGGGACCCCCGGAGGGCTGACTGCCTCTGAGGGGAGCTCGCCCCCTTGGGTGATCCGAGCCAGAGTTCTCTCATTTAGAGGGCGTTTCCCTGTAAGCAAGAGATCTCACTGGGGTCGCAGAGGGGCGGTGGTGCTTGTTTGAGACAGGGCTCACCCCGTAGCCCAGGCTGGCCTCGAGCTCCTGATTTCCGAGTCTTAGGTGCTAGGGTTAGGACATGCACCACCACCCCTGGGGAGTGACAGTGTGGGCTTCCTGGTGCACGCATGAGAAGAGGGGACCGGGTGACAAGGAGGGATGGGGGCTCCCCCAGGAAGGCTCCGGAGTCCGAGGAGTGCCAGACCCTGGGGACAAGCCAGAGCGTCCAGCAGAGCCAGCCTCGGCCAGGCCGGGGGAGCAGGAGGCCGTGGGCTGACTAGTGTCCTCACTGCGGACTGGGGTAATCTAGGTGGCCCAGGAGGCCTCTGAGGAGCTCTGGAGGATGGAAGCCCAGCGTCACCAGCCGAGCCAGGCAGGGAGCGCAGCCATTGATCAGCACTGGACGTTAGTGGCTCCGGCTGTGTGGACGTTAGTGGCTCCAGCTGTGGTAGGCCCGGCCTTGTCTCACTAATGGAGTTCCCAGTCTCAGGGACTTAGAGCCACCGCCCACAGAGGAGGAAATGAGGCCGAGTTGGCCAGGGGTGGATGTTAGTGGCTCCGGCTGTGGTAGGCCCGGCCTTGTCTCACCAATGGAGTTCCCAGTCTCAGGGACTTAGAGCCACTGCCCACAGAGGAGGAAATGAGGCCGAGTTGGCCCAGCGTGGTGACCTGCCACCTCACACTGGCTCCCACGGCCATGGAGAAGAGTGGCTTAGCCAGGTGTGGCAGCGCATGCCTGCGATCCCAGGACTTGGGGAATCAGAGGCGGGCGGATCTCTGTGAGTTCAAGGCCAGCCTGGTCCAGGACAGCCAGGGCCACACAGAGAAGCCCTATGTCAAACAAACAAACAAACCGAACCAAAGGGTGGGAGGCCTGGCCTCGGTGAGACGGGATGGCTCCGGCTCAGAGACTTGGAAGAATGACCTTGGTGGCTCTCACCTGGAGGGCCAGCCTCCGGTGATTCCAGGCCAGCCTGGGCCACACAGTGAGCTCTGAGACAGCCTGGGCCACACAGT